CTCGAGTCGGTTTAAATTCTTATATGATATGTATGCAGATTGGCTCAACAGACTAACGCGGGACAATTAACAAGGAGCCTTCTTTTGAAACCTCGAGCCACCGTGAACATAAAACCGAATCTTCAGATCATTGCAGACGACGTGAAATGCTCGCACGGAGCTGCGATCAGCGATCTCGAAGAAGACCAATTGTTCTATTTCCAAGCTCGTGGAATCGATTTGGAGACCGCAAGAAGAGCCCTCATATCTTCTTTCGGTTCGGAAGTGATCGAGCGGTTTCCGAATCGTGAAATCCGCGACCAAGCCAGGGATCACGTTAAAGGCTTGCTCTGATCTTTAAACGCCGGCAAGAGGAGAACTTTTGTCATATGATCTTAAACCCAATCGCGTTGTCTTCACGCGCCGCTACTGCGCCTGCGATACGTCCATTATATGTATTATTACCATTTGAGGCCCATATGTCTTAGGTCGGCCCATTTAAGAAAAACAACGAAGTTGGCTTCTATGTGAGTGAAACAGCATGTATTTAGAAAAACGTTATACAGTTGGCGTCTGTATCTGCAAGACGACGTGATTGTTTTGGATCCAGTAAAACTTGAAAACAGCAAAGATTCGACTTCTCGATGACTAAAACTACACCCTTTGTTTTTGAAATCTGATAAACAAACAAACACTTGGTTTTTTTTTTATGCCGCCTCCATTTTTGGCCTCCATCAACGTCGGAGACTCTCGCCGCCTTTTTTTCGCCGTCGCCGGTGAAATCACTTCGATAGATTCCGCCGCATACTCTCTCGCCCTCCGGTAGCTTCGAGAACAGACTTCCTCCCTCTCTAAATCTTCTCATTCTGTAAGCTTCGAGAACCCCAGACCTTAATTACCTATAAATCTAGGGTTCTTAACTTGTTCTCTTCGCTCGATGATTCCATTTATCTGAGAGATTACTGCATACGGTAATCGAGGCTCTTGTGGTTAGATAGTTAGACTAATTAGAGTTTTGATTAGTATGGCAATAAAATTGGTTAAGTTGTGGATTTTGGTGTGAAATTGGTGGTGTTGCTTTGCAGTGAGAATGGCGAGCAATGATTTAAAGACGTGGGTTTCGGACAAGCTGATGGTGCTACTTGGATACTCTCAAGCAGCTGTTGTTAACTATCTCATTGCTATGGGTAATTTGAAGTTTCAATTTTGGAACATGGAGCTTATGAAGCAGTTTTGGTACTGTTCTTATGATTTACTAATGGGGTTATTATCTTCTTGCAGCTAAAAAAACAAAATCACCAGCTGCACTTGTGGGCGAGTTGGTGGATTACGGGTTTTCTTCATCTAGTGATACTCGTTTGTTTGCGGAAGAAATTTTTGCCAGAGTTCCCCGTAAAGCTGCTGGTGTGAATGTGAGTTTCTCAATGAGCTGCTGTTAACTTTTGTTCTCTCGTGCTTTCTCTATTAAAGCTTTTGGAAGTAGAGGCATTTTTGTTTTTTTGTCTGGGAGAAGTATGTATTGGTTATCTTAAATTTATTTTTCTCGTCTATCAGCTCTACCAACAGCAAGAAGCAGAGGCAGCAATGCTGGTTAGGAAGCAAAAGACATATGCTCTTTTA